TTCATCCATCTTTGTGCATGTGTTTGATAGCATTCAATCTCTGTAAGGACCAGAAGGCTAAGTTTGTTCTCTTTGGTAAGATACAGCTAGGACAGTAAATAATTATTTTTAGGAAGATTCCATGGTTTCCATTTTTGTGTAAAAGCAGCAAAAATCTCAAACAAAAGAGGACTAACTCAACATGTTTTTCCATCCCATTTGTTCTTCAATAGACTGGATTTAAACTAAAAAGTGTCAGTATAATGACGAGACATTCTACAAGACATGAGTCAATGAGCTAGTGAATGAGGTAGAGGAATCACTAAAAGTTGTTTGAAAAAAGTCAATATCTAAATGTAAACACACACTTCATATTTCATATTTTTAATTTGTAATGTTTTCCTTTAAGCAGATGTTTATACTTCAGACTTCAGGTGTGTGTGGTTATTTTGATGTGAAGAGAATGCTGCAATTATTCTAGTAGCATAGCCTACATTACCATAACACAGCATGGAATTAAAGCAAATCAAAAAGCAATTACAATGCTCTCAACAGAAAGCAGCTCTGAGACTAAATGAGGATGCTTGTGAAACAAATGCACATTTTAAACAGACTTTTGTTAAATAATATTTGTATTTTACACTGCCTCCAACCTAGTCTAGCTCAATGCAGAGATGTCAGTTCTGACAAACACTCATTTTTCCATTTTATTAAGTCTGTCAAAAATAGAAATCTTTCATTTGAATTGAACTTTTTTCCCCTCCAAATTCAAATGAAACTTCTCAGTTGGGTGCATGCAGGCTGAAAATGCTGCTTCTGCAGAACCCAACCGTTGGAACACATGAAAAACTCTATGAAGCCTGCCAGTGCCTCAGCAGATGTATACGGTGGGATAAATTTTGCAAACACTTGTTACAGAGAGTAGAGCTCACTGTTTGGCAGAGATAGTAAGACTGTCATCGTTTTTGACAAATGAGATTTTTTTTTTTTTAATAAGTTGGTATAATGTTGATGTAACATAATGGTGACTGATGAACCTGGCTGGGAAAATAGTAAGCAATGAAGAGGACAAGCCAGTGACAGACTGATCCGGATTGCGAAGTCAGGTGCAAACTAGCAACGTGCATTTTACCACTGCTAAATGCAAAGTTGTTCATCTAAGAACCAAAATATAGAAGCACAGTGCTGATGGAGGCAGTTCAGTGACTGAACAAATATGACTGGGATGAAGTGAAGATAACTATCTTCTATCTCTTATCTCTACTTATCTCCAGGTATCTATAGGGAAAGCCAAAATTTGACAAAGGGTTTTTAAATCTGAAGGCAAAACCAGAAGTGCCTACTATGCCTGGAAGCTGAGGCTGTACAAACTCTGTCTAGAAATATGGTTCACCCCTTTGTTTTTTTAAACAGTAGGGTAATTAACAGTAGGATGAAAGAGAAACAAGTTCCTGAAGGTTGGAATGAATGTTCTTTTACTGGGAAAATTTTAACAGAGACCGAATCATTTTCGTAAATGACATGCTCTGGCCTGAAGAGAGCAGTCCAGGGAAGTCCCATGGACTGTGCTGTGCAGAAAGTCACAGGAAATGAATGTGATGGCCTAATCCACACGGATAACTGATGAATCTTGAATGCACAAGAATCTTTTTGCCGATCATATTTCTGAAAGAACCCAGCATCTGGCCTCTTGGCAATCTACCTCCTTTGTGAAACTAAAACACAGCTACTTTGGCAATTGTCCCCAAGCCCTTGGCACCAGTAGATGTCTCTTTAACTGCTATGGCATTCAAATGAAGTGGTTGCCAGTCATTGACTCATGGCTGTTTAAAGCATATGTCCGGCAGAAGTTTAACCAAGTGATGAGAGGCATAACACAGAGGAAGACCAAACTTTGCTCCAAATCTTGAGCAATATCACTGAACTGGCAGTAGCTAGAGGGGGTAGGAAGGCACGGAAACAAGAACACCTCCTTGAGGAGAAACTCTCTGCCTTTGGATGCGCGATGGGGTAAGTCCTCTCCGCACTCTTTCTGTTCTTACAGATGTCAAGAGCTAACATTAGTGTGCATGAAGGGAAGCCACCTGGGTGAGGCAAAGCTGCAAAGTACCATCCTGAAGGAGCTCCTTGGTGCTTCAGACATTGTTTGGGGCTAGGGGGTGTGAAGGGATGGAGGGAGGGAGGGAAGAAGGGATGAGACTGAACTGTAACTCTGTGGACAGGATACAGCCATTCTGTAAAATGCAAGATAGTTAAAAAAGCTAGTTTTAAGCAAGCTAGATTCAGTACTAAAGCAATGCTGTTACAGCTGGCAAGAGCTTACACCAGCTGACATTGGCAAGGGGCTGAGCAGCATGGGAGAAGACCATATCTTAGATAGCTTGATACAACTTTCAGTGGTCCCTTCTGTTGTTGCTCCTCTTCTGTGAGATATTTTTGGGCTCTTGGAGCCTTCTATAGCTCATGTTTCCAGTTAGGTTCAGTATATAGCCTACGTTATATAATTAATTTGTCTCTTGTAAGACCTGCATTCATTCTCATTCCATGTGCCTCCTGTTAAATTCTGGCCAAAGGACTTGTTAGTTGTATTTCAGGTCAGTAGGTTATAGCTATGTGAAAGTCATTACAATAGGAAACTTCATTTCACCAGAAAGCAGTGTTTCCTCTGTGAAACATACCTTGTGTCGTACTGTACTCTGTATTCATTACTCAGTGATATTTCAGTGGGATGCCTGTAGTAGTGGGGAGCTGATAATCTCATATCATAGTTGCCAGTAGCTTTTTTTTTTGAAGATTAATGAAAATGAGATTTCCTGCAGAATCTTACAATGAAGGTGTTTAGCGATGACAGCAAAGTTCTGCAGAAATCTGCATTTCAGTGTCTCCATTGCTTATTTGCAGACAGAAATAGGTCTCTAGCTGTCCCCTTAATAGGACTGTCTGAGGAAAATACCAGTTATCTGTCTTCTGCTTATCTGTTCCTTACTGCCTTCGGTTCAAGTTTCACTGCTGGGCTCTGAAGGGGTCCTTCCTCTCCATGCGCAGCCTTGCTGCTGGGGCTGCTCACACCAACCTGCATTTCCAGCTTGTTGCTTTTAGGGCTGTGGCACTTTTTAAACTTTAAATATGCATTTTAAATTAAAACAGTGCAATAATGTCACTTTTTAGAGACATCTTCTCGACCTAAAGCTTAACAACTTGGAGAAACTGATGAACAGCTATTGTTAATCCCTTCTGGCTTGCACGGCTGAAATGTAACATCTCAGAAAAGAGAACAGAACTGGAAGAAACTTGCATGGTTTCTGATGCAAGAGCTTCAGTGTGCCAATCAGTAGTGCCTTTGAGAAAAAGCTCTTTCATTGCAACCCATTTTACTTCTCGTAAGGCACTGGAATTAGTTGACCACATAACTCCGAAATGCAGTTTCAAACAGAAAAGGTCAGTAAGTGCCAACAACCAATAAATCAATTTGAGATAATGCAGTTACATTTATGTTGATTACAATAAAATATCTGGAGTCTTAGATGAGTGGGATAGCTAGAGAATAACTGACTTTTCAATGTATAAAGAGATCTTGATTACTGTAGGGGCAAATGCTTAGAAATATTGTTAAGAAACAACAAAAAATACCTGAGATACATCACAGACATTCATTCCCCAGTGCGAGCAAAACTGGTTTATAAAACTGTTATAGTATTTCCTCTTTTCCACAAGAGAGAGAGGTGCTAAAGAACTTTTTTCCCCTCCCAACTTCTGGCAGTATGTGCTACCTAAAAATGAAAATAAGCTGAAACACCACTCGTATGAAGAGATAGAGGAACTACATTGTGAAGTAAACAACATTGCAGTATTAAAAGAAAAACTGCAAAAACTCATTCAGGAGGAAACCCCCTCTTGTGTTATAGGATTCACTGGTGAAATGGATGACATATCAGAGTCAGTTTTAAATTATAGTTCAGGTAGCAGTAGCAGTATAACTGGGATAGTACAGAGCCCAGCACTGTTCAATTTTTCCCCTTCTTTTCTTGTGACTGTAGTGTGGACATCCTCTTGATACTTTCATAGGTGTAAACATGCCTCAGGATTACACCCCACCTGAACTCTTCCCTTCCACATGATCTTGTAGTACTTAAAAATACTACCAGAAGTTACATTTAGAATTATAAGAATTATATTTAATCTCTTTTTGAAACAGTAATATATTGAAAATGCATAGCGTACTTATTGAACTTGCTATTAACTTTCTTCTAGCCTCAGCTCAGGCCAGGCAAGCTTATTTGCACTAACCCGGGATATCCTTTCCTAACATTTTCTAACAGCCCATTTTGCAACACCCGGTTACCACTTATTAGATGTGAAATGGCCCTGAGCACCAGGACAGCACTGCCCACGCTGCTCGGTCCGGCAGAATCTGAGCAGAATCTCCATGGAGCCTGGGTATCCGTGGTGTTTAATCCCTTACTCAGATAAACTGTCCATGGAGAAGGAGGAGTTGACTGTAATGTGTGCAAAACTCAGCTCTTGGTAACAAACAAAATTTGTAGCTTTGGAAGAGCAACATATGGTTATTATCTGGCTCTGGGAAGGGCAGATTTGTGTTGCAAATGAACAAACTGATGAATGAGTAGCAGAGTTCGAACAATATCTCTGATCTTCACTGCAAAAGCATGCAGATGCTCAGAAGAGAGGAGAACTAATAACACAGAGAGCTCACAACCACCACAATCATGTAATTTCTCTAAGGATCTTTTCTTCCCACATATTACTAACTCATGCTTGTTTTTAAGGGTATGGCTAGCAACCTCTTAAGGACTAGAGCAGCTTCTCCGCCCAACCTTCTCAGCCATTTTTCTCTAGGCTGGAGGATGTTTGGATAAAACTACTGGTTTTGGCTCACTGGCTGTGAGATTCCAGGATTATCCCTCGAGCACGATCCAGGTGGAAAGCTCTGCTGGCTTTTCACATGGGCCCTTTCATTCCTACCTTATCTTAGCCTTTATGTATTCTCTCATTTCTAGAATATGTACAAGGAAGATTTCAGAAGCATGATTGAAGAGAATAGGAACAGCAGTGACTCCTCCTCTGCCTTCACTCACACCAACACCATGAGTGCCATACTGATTACTGCCTACTCAGTTGCCTTTGCTGGAGGTGGGATCGGGTCCATCACAATGTCATTTGTGCTGGTCAAGATGAACACTCTGTCAGTGACCACTACAGCCATCATTAACCTGGTCGTTGTGCACGGCCTCCTCGTCTTAACGGTGCCCTTCCGCCTGCACTACTATGTCAACAAGAAGTGGGTATTCAAGATGCCATTTTGCAAAATGGTGAGTGCAATGGTGCACATCCACATGTACCTGACGTTCCTATTCTACGTGATCACGCTGGTGATCCGGTGGCTCATCTTCTTTCAATGGAAGGACAAGGTGGAGTTTTACAGGAAGCTGCACGCCATTGCAGCAAGCGCTGCTGTGTGGGTCTTCGTCATGGTCTTTGTGGTGCCAGTCTTGTCCTTCGAGTATGGACGCTCAGGCTCATACAATGATACGACATGCTTTAAATTCCACAAAGAACTACGGCAGGAGAGCGTGAAAGCCCTGAACTACACCATAATTGTAGCTGTCACCTGCATTACTTGTGTCCTCTTGGGCCTGCAGATTTTCATCCTGGTAAAAGTGTCGAGAAAACTTTCCACATCCTTCTGGTCACACCAAGAGTTCTGGGCCCAGGTGAAAAACTTGATTTTCATCTGTGTCATTATAATTTGCTTCCTTCCCTATCACCTCTTTAGGGCCTACTACATACAGCATGTGGGTGATTTTGACCAGTTAGAAAGCTACAATGAAGTTTTTTTGAGTCTGACTGCCCTCAGCTGTCTGGACCTGCTGTCGTTCGTGCTGAGCGGAAGCCGCTTCTTCAAGCAAAAGGTGGGCATGCTCCGCAACAGGTTGTCTTGCTGCTAGTGTCAACCTCCTGCAGCGTGCGTGGACCTGGACCTGGCAGAGCACGGTGCTGGACCGGCATGGCAAGCCCCCCGCTCAGCAAGGGCCCTGGAAATAGCACAACACACTCACGCAGGGCTCTGCACACCTGCTCCCCAAAATAATGGGGTGAACCGCCTCCACAGTGTCTCAGCTGGTAAACTGGAAGGTTACCTCTGGGATCTCCTGACGGTGCTACCTAGTGAGTTGCGGATGCACCTGGGGGAGAAGGAGGAAAGGGCACGGGCTCTTCTGCCTCACTTTTTTTACATCAAGGTCTGTGAAGTCAAAGGCACTAGGAGGAGATTCAAGAGAATTTGCAAAGTATGTAGAAACAAATAGGAAACAGTTTTTTATGGAATAAGGTACAGATTTTTGAAATTTAAAGTTCTATATAGTTTTCCACATACATTTCTTATTTATTCTCCGCAAGCTCTCATAAAATATCAGGGAAGCTATTGTTCCTCCTGAGTAGGTCTGTTCCTTCACTGTAAAGACAAGTACAACTTTCTAAATGAATTGAACAATTAAACCAACTCTTTAAAAACAAACTAGCAATAAATATTTATTTCTTAAAAGATTTTATCAAAATTACCTTTTGGAGATGGTATCACTGCAGCAAAAAGAATTTTGTTCTCTTTCACACATTATGAAAATGTCTCCAACAAAAAAAAGACACATTACTGAAATGAACAGTGTAATTTCAAACAAAAGCCTGTATTTTTATTTACAGAATTGTTTAATTTAAGGAAAAAAAAGTTAACAGTGAGGATCATTTTATTTAGACGATTCAGACAGCAGTTGTCTTCTCTTAAAAAGTTAAATATTTTAGGTCTCCAAGGTAACAATGATTTTTTTTTCTCCTATGTTGATTTTGTGCAATTCTGAAGTTTATAACTAATTACTCACAGTATCTTTAGCTTGAAATCAATTCTATAGATTTAGTACTAGTAGAAGAAATTAAAATGTTAGTGCTTGCATTAGAGGGATGGAAAAAGCTAATAAACCTGGTGTAGCTAAAAAGCTTATTATACCTCAGTGAGGCATTGTGAGTTGCTATCTCTGAAGACAGAATTGAATTCCACTTGAAAAGAGGAAAAAAATCAGCAAAATAATTCTGTGAAAGATATTCAGGCTTTCATAGCTCAGCTGCTTTACACCTATCCCAAAAAAAGAGTATAAATCTCTGACTGCTGTAACCCAAGACAGCAATGGCTAATTTATGTTTCTTCTTGTCATCTGCATAAGATATTTTCATCTAGAGTCAGTGGAATAATATTTTAATCATTTAACAAATTAGAGGTTATCAGCTGATTAATTTCCAGTGACAGTCTCTCCTCATGATGCTGTTGAAGTCCACTTTTCATACTTCTGAATCTTTCCATTCCTTTCTACTTCACCTTCAACATCTCTTGCTCATCAGACAGCAATCAAATAACTATTGGTTGATCTTGCTGTACCTGTACAATCTTACTGCTACGCTCATTGCTTTTGGTCCCACCAAAGTTGGTTACTTTATAGGATCCCATTTCTTCTATAGTTTTTCTTCCCTGTTTTGCTTCTTGCTTCAAGCTCCTCTATATCTCTCGGGAGGTCTGATCATGAGAGAGTATTTTCAGGTCAGCATCTGAGTAACGCTATATAACACCAAAAGTTGGAAAGATAGACATGTGAGAGCTTGCAGTGTGTGGATCTGAGACAAAACTGTCTGAGAAGAAGGCATTTGCCCCAAAAGGATCATGGTAAAGAGGAAGTTAACTACCAGCCTGATTCAACAGTAGTCAGGGAACTACGGAGATTTTCATAACATGGGAGGAGTCAACTTGAACATGGAGTTCACTGCCAGTTAATTATGTGTCATTAAGAAAGCAATAAACTGCTCTGATCCAGATTTGTTTTAAAACTACACGAACAAAGCAGTTTTTCCTTGTGCCAGGAGAGAAGATGCAAAATGGCACAACATTTCTGTTTCCTCCTATAGCAACATTGTTGGTGGAAGAAAATAGCTTGCACGTGTTCTGTAGGCACTGCATACCTTTGTAACACTATATTACAAACCTTCTGTCATAATAAAGTTGTTAACAAATGACTATGTGCTGAAAAAGTTAAGCAAGTCCTTCCTGCAAATATGCATATAGATGAAAAGCATTTTGTATCTGAATTTAACAAGACTTTCAAAAAATAAAGCATACATTTACAAACAGTACCTCCTGACCATACAGCTTAACCAATCTTGTTCATGTATGTGTTAAAATCACAAATCGTTTAATTCTTGTAAAAATGTACACTTTCACAATACCCTGCACCATAGCATCATAAAAAATACTAGATACTGGGTTTTTTTCCAAATAAAAATTGATGCTAATGATCATAGAAACATAGAATCATTAAGGTTGGAAAAGACCTCTAAGATCAAGTCCAACCTTCAACCCAACACCACCATGCCCACTAAACCATGTCCCTAAGCGCCACATCTACATGTCTCTTAAATACTTCCAGGCATGGTGACGCTACCACTTCCCTGGGCAGC